CCACATCCCATCGGATGTAGTCATACATACCCCAACATCCCGTCAGATGTGGTCATACATACCCCACACCACTATGGGTGTAGTCATACCCCGACACCGCTCTGGGTGTGGTCAAATCTCATAAGAATTCTTCAGTCACCACCACAAGAGAGGTGTGACTATCATACATATCATAATAGAGTAATAACATAGGGAGCCCTAATTACTATGTAGTTGATCGTGAGACCACAACACTCATATTTGGTATCCTTATACATGATTCATATCTCCTCTTGCTTAATCATAATTCATTACTAGCACATGTACTTGACCTGGCCATAATTGGCTCAACATAGGGAAATAAGGAGTCGTATAATTGCACTTCCTCGGGATAAACCCTCGTGCAAGTCATCCTCCTTAAACATCATAATATCACCAGGGAATATATATTTTCCCACTTGTGCATCCAAATACAACAATCATGAAAAATCATACCTAATCACCTTCGCGAACCATCGGAAAGCATATTAACAGTCAAGCCCACAATTTGCAACATATACATAATCATCAGCATAAACAATGTTCATATCGATTAGGGCAAGTCAATAATATCATACAACAATCCAGGGTTCAACATATAGCACAAAAGTTCATACACCCCTAATCATGCCATTCTAGTTCACCTAGATCAATTCTAAGCATCAATATAATTATCGTGATACGACAAACCCGGTATGCCGTGCTAATCCCTCACCAGTTCTGGTCGTTCAAACACCGGTTTAACCTTCCCGTACTAAAACGTCAATTTTAGGAACGAACCCCGAATTAAAATCCGAGACCGTCCTAATATCCCCTGCAGTATCCCCGTCAATATTAGTTCTTGGCTCCAGGTCAAATTCTCGATAAAAACACATCAAACCTTGGCCGGAGCTAAATTAAGCGATTTGGACCCCGACCTAAATAATTGCCAAAATTCAGGGATTAGAACTAGAGGATTGGTTACCTCGCTGCAGGAAGCTCGTATATGAAATTTGGGCTCAATCCGGCTTCCGGATACTCCGAAACCCTAATTTGGCTTATTGGGAATTCAAGAAATTCCTGAACTAAAAACTCGTTTTAAAGCTCTAAATCGATAAATCACGATGAATAGATGAATTAGGCATTACTTACGGGATTTTTGGATCACTAGAACTCCAAGAATTGAGCTTGGGAATTTTCCCCCGACGTTCCCCTGAACTCTTCCGCTTGCTCTGTATCTCTCGGTTCGGAAATTAGAAAAGGAAAGATGATGATGGAATAAAAGTGACGGGGAAGGGTTTATATATATTTGGCCCGACATTAATTATATATATATATATATATATAATATTTGCCATATATATATATATATTAATACGTATACTTATCTGATCGATTGATAATCCGATTTTTGCCGAAATACTATCAAAACGTTCGGTTTTAAATCGCGAACTTTCTAGCGATCGAAATAAGAGTTATGCCGAAATGGGATGTTACATCAATTACATCCGGAAATTTTATCCACAATATATATGGACCAATCATGATTCGATAAAACCATTCCATAGGTTGTACTTTTGAATGTCAATGATCTAAATTCATAATGCTGATGCAGGAGAACAAGAATGACACTGCTAATGGTGGAAGTAATGGATCCGGTGCTAGAGATGATTGTGATGTTGAGAAGATGAAAGACATTGTTCATGAGGAAGGTATAATTGTATAAAGACTGGTGGTGGGGAGAAAGAACAAACCCAGGATAATGTTCGTAACTTGGACGAGGTGAATTTTCACTCCAATAAAAAATATGAAATGTATTTGCAAATGTATTTTAACATAAACTTTTGTGCTCAATGAAATGCTGGAAAACAAGGAAGAGATAACTGAAATCCAAGAGAAGAAGGAATAGTCAATTGATATTGGAGATAAATGTGTCACTTTATCAATTATGATGATGAGGTTGTTGCTCAGGTAAGAGGTAATGCAAACAAGCCAAAAGGAAAACATGCATTAATCTCTCACGATAAGGAGTAATTAGAAGGATAATTTTAATTGGTATTTAGCAGTCAGTTCCCTTGCATGGGGTTCTCTTTCATTTTTCATAAAACGATTTTAGTGGGTTAGTCATTAAATGTCAGAAATGGTACAATATTTAATCTTTTGAATTGTTGAACTATTTTAATAATTTAGATTCTCTCAGTGTTCAAGAACACTCGCCTAGGCGCGTTTAGTAGCTAGGCGAGGAGGAAACTTGGAGAGGAATGCTGGGCGAAGTTGCTGGGCGCCATAAACGCGGAATCGCGTTGAAGAACGCCTAGGCGGCGAGTACGAGCTTAGATCCGCGATTCCAAGCTGTGGGCGACGCCCAGAAAAAAAAGGTTATGATGCTGCTGTGCGTTTTGGATGGGCAGAAAGGGAAAACCCTAATAGCAGTCGAGCAGCCACCTCTCTCCCTTCTCTCCAACAGTCGACCGCCTTCATCCCTCCTCTCCAGCCGCCTGTCTCCAGAATCGCCAGTCGTCGTTAGTTTCACCGTCGGTCTCCAGCATCGCCGCAGTTCTCAGGCGACGGTGGGAAGATCTCTGGACTAGGGTTTCCATTCTCGACCTCGACAACCGCTTGGTTTACGAGTCCCTGAACGAAGAGGAGGAGCTAGAACATGCTTCAGAAGCAGTTTTAGAGAGGAGAGAATCGGAGTTCTGCCGCTTCGTTGACAAGGTACTGGCTTCATTTGTGCCCATGTAAGGGTCCAGTGATATATGTTGTTTCTCAAGCTATGCTTTTGGGTTTGTTCTTAAGTTATGCTGTAGTAGAGTATTCTTGAAATTTCACGTGGGGAACAAAAGGTTCATGACAATTCATTGTTTGTCAGTAAGAACCCATATAAAACCTCTTACTCGAAGAAGGATTTAGAATAGTCCTCTATCTTGTGTTTTAGTTGGTTATGTAGGTTGAACTGTTTAGAATAGTCCTCTATCCTATGTTACTACTTGAATGATTGTTATCTTGAATATTGTCAGTTACAGAACTACAAATCAGTGAACTTATTTATGTTACGTTTGATCTTGCACTCTAAACTTACATATTTATCATTTTTTTTTCGACGTTTAGTCTCGCCTAGGCAACGACTAATCGGCCTGGGCGCTGGGCGGTGCCTCCTCGCCTAGGTGGCGCCAAGCGTCTTCTTGAACATTGGATTCTCTTTTTCTCTCAATCGATTTGACTGATTAAAGTTTTAAAGAACTTAAATTTTTTTATATTGACACTTGAATACAAATAGCTAATGTTATTTGCATGATGCACTGCTACTGTTATTTGCATGATGCACTAATTCATAGGGATCCATCAATTAAAATTGTTTCGGAGATGTTCTCCCCATCATTGAAATTATCTCCATCATCAACACTCTCTTTCTTTTATTCAAATCGTCATTATCTCCATCACCAAGTCTGCTAAACCCTACGAAAAATTAAATGTAAAATATTTGCAATTATGAAACAGTATTTTCAAGAAGTTAAATTTACCTCGTCCGAGTTATCAACATCTTCTGAGATTACTCTTCTTCATCGTTTCTTACCTTAAAACCGTGTATTCACTTATGGGGTTCAACATATTATAATCTGTGAGCTTGATGTTAAATTTATAATTCCCCTCAAGTCATAGCAGATGAAATCATGGAGGTCCATTTGGTTCTGTGACTATTTTGGAATAGCTTCTCAATAGGCAATAGGCACCGGAAAAAATCTAGCTCCTTCAAGATACAATATTAGTCCAAAGATATATGATTTAGTGGGTACAATGTTCTTTTCTCGAATGAATGAATTTGAAGTTAAAAAGAATGGAAGAGTGAATATATTATTACCTACTGGTTGTTGTTTTTGGTCTTGTTATAAATTCTCACAAAAGTACTCATCATAGTATATTAATGTTGACGTGTTCCAATTAATCAGATATTTTACACACACAAAATTAAATCGAAGTTGACGAAATAAATATAGTTCATTGATATATTATTAGATCGAAAAATCCTTAGTTACCGAAAAAATCCTTAGATTTAGCATTGGAGATCCGCGCTAACTATCAATAAAGAAGGTTATATACCAAAACTCCTACCTCATTCGCCATTTTGACAATTTTGCATCAAATATACACATTGTGTTAAATATTAGAGAAAACATTCGCATTTGAATGTTAATGCCTTGTTAGATTGAAGCTGAGCTTACCACCTCTCCATAACTTATTTTTGGTTTATTTACTCTTTAATGTTTTGGAGGTTGGAGGTCGGGTTTGCTCTTCAACTCTCGTCAAAGAAGGTGGTGCATCTCCATCATCTTTATCACACAATAAATTAGTATGCAATCATAATTTTTCTGGAACTTCAAATATATAATACACAAACCTTTATTATCAATTTATTTACTCTTTTAATGATTTGGTGGTTGGTAGCCGGATTTGATATTTGACTCTTGTTAGAGGAGGTAATGCATCTGTGTCACTTTTATCACAAAAACAATTAGTATAAAATCATAATTTTTTTGACATTGCAAATTTTTAATACACAACAAAATACATTGACAATTGAGAATAGTGAGAATCGCCATTGTTCTTTCTTTCGTCTCTGTAGAGGATCCTGTGCTTTCGCCCGTTGTTTTCCTCGTTGCCTCATTTGCCCTTTTTTGGTATTTGACGTAATCGCATCGTTATCGAAATCGCCGTTGGATTTAGTTAATCGCCGTTCCCGCTAGGTAATTGTTTGTCGTCGTAATCTGAGATAGCGAATGAACCCTAGGTTTAGAGAACGAAATTGCTTTTTGCATCTAGTTTGACTCAACAGTGTTGATTGTTGGATATCATCCTCGGGACTTTTTGGGGTTATGTTGTTGGTTTTGAGAAAGATGTGAATGGGTCAGAGAATAAGCGCGCGGAGGAGAGCAGGAAGGGATAAGTATGATATTGTTTGGTTGAAACGATTTGTTTATTGCTTGTTGTTGTAGGAATTAGACATGGGAAAGAGGAAGTCAAAGGAAAAGCCACCACCTAAGAAGAGAATGGACAAGCTGGACACTTTGTTCCCTTCTGCAATCATGGAACAAGTGTCGAGTGCCGCATGTAAGGATTCTTTCAGTTCTTGGGGTTTGGGAGGAATAATCTCAGTGGTATGATAATTCATCGCTTTGGTTGTCATATTAACTTGTCTTAATGGATATTGTTCAGTGATATGAAGAACATGATCGGTGAAGCTTCGTGTGGTATCTGTCAAGAGAGTTTCAGCACCACTATCACAGGTATTTGCCAATCTTCTGTAGAATGCAGTGTCTGATTTTGGCTCAAATACCTTTGTTTTTACTTCTCATAACCTTATGAATGAAGAGATTATTGTAACATCATCAAAAGGGTTCAATTTGTAGCCTAAATGATGACAGTTGTATAGCCACTCACTTATTCATGCCGAAAATGTTACGTTTGTAAACTTTCTCCGGTAGCTGACTTTGTTCTCTTTGCTTTCCTTGTGTTTGCAGCTTTGACTGAGCCGATTGATGTGTAAGTGAATCCACCATAGAACTTATCAAGTATCGTTCCTCAATCCTTGCTATTATTTATCGTGCCCACTAATGCTTTCTTGCAAATGGTCTTACTGCAGATACAGCGAATGGATTGATGAGTGTGAACGAGTCAACAATCCTGACGATGATGGTGCCTGAAGGGCAGGCAAGTACTACTGCTGGAACTATGTTTGGCTTTCACCAAGGGCAGAAGGCATTTGAACCTTGCTTGCTAGGGCCTGAATATTTTGTTGTGGTGGTAGCTCTTTGCTGGCATAGGGATGCAGATGAATATGCATTATGGGTAGGCTCTCATTTTGTGTCATAAATGCTTATAAGATAGCAGTTAGGGAACTGTTAAATGCGGAACAATTCAAGATGTCCAATGTGCTGCCTGTGGTGTCTTTAATGAAGTGCAAGTGTTAATGGTCAGTCTCGTCTGAAGTCTTGAAATAGGTATAGATGCCCTAATTTTCTATTGATTGAGGTGACATGTGTACCCAGTCATGGGATTGTGGATATGGCCGATTATGCTAAAGCTAACCTTCAAATGTTTGAGCGAATTGTTGGAGCGCTTCAAATTGTTTCGGGTACGTGGTTAGATTTACTAAAATGATCATTGACGCTTCTCCACAAAAACAACCTCCTGAGGGGTAGAACAATCACCAGGGAGTATGAATCTTGTCGTTGGGAGATGAAGAGTATCTCTTTAATGCGATCCTATGAGATCCTCAAGCTCATCTTGTTGCAAAATACAACCAACTTGTTAAACAAGTATGCAACTAATGTAAGAAAATCTACCATCTCGCGAATTGGAAAAGGGTGCATGCTACTCTTGCAAAGTTGTATACATACACGCGAGCATGAGTGATTCTGCATATCCTAAGGAGATCAATCGACACTCTGCATCGTCAATGATCCAAAATAATGTCAGGTCACATGATAGGCCACAAGAAAGTGCTGCTAGTTTCTGTTGCTTTTACTCCTAGAGAAGCGAATCGGGTTGCCCATGTTGTGGGACGTAATGTCTTATGCTACTCTGGCTCTTGTAGTGTTTGTTTCAATTGTTCTTACTGACTATCATTTCACGAAGAAGCCGTTGTATTGTGGCTATCTTGTGCTTAACTAGTTAATCCGCAATGGTTTTTATGACAAAAAAAAAGTGCATCCACAAAGGCGAGCAGCTCGTGGTCTGCCATCCTTTAAGCAGACCTCCCAAGTGTGAACTGAACCTACTTGATGAAGCCAGTCCCAAACCACTAGCTTCACCACTCATCGTCCAAATGGCCCAATTGACATGGATTGTGAGGTGGGTGATAGGAGCACTCAAGGCGGATAGCGGAGGGATCGGTAAAGCTAGAAATTTCGGGAAAGAAAGTGAAGGCAGAGCATGCTTATAGAAGTCGGCAGAAACAGGGCAACAACGAGTTCTCACGCCTGGTGCTTGAATTGCCGGATGAACAAGTGGTACTAGGGAGGAATCAAGAGGAAATGTGAAAGTGTCAGGTGGGTCGGTACAATGACCGGTCTATAGGTAGCACTCCAGGCTGCAATACATTAGCATTAGAGCGTAAGTGATATGGCTAGATGGTAGTTGGAGCGTGCTGAGTACAAGCTAGAATTGTTGTAATGTCGAACAGAAAGCGGGGTAGAAGTACCTGCACATGCAATGAAGGAAAGAGAGCATACCTTATCAACCTTTCAATGACATCGTAGATGAAATCGAATACCATAAATGATTTTGCTGCTAGGATGAAGCACCTTCAAAACGGAGGGAACATGCTTAGAAGCCAATGGTTGTGAAGACCATTGATCATCTCGCCATCCCCAACTTGCAGTGATCAGCTGCCAAATAAAAAGACTATGCAGAAGGCCACACCAAAACCATGATGGACGAGCCATGGAGGACGATCCAAGGAAAGAACTCGCAAGCAAGAAGGATAGCTCTAGTATAATCCGCCAACATTGCTTATCACGAAGGGATTGATAACCTCGGTTACCAAAGCCATTATTGAATTTGTTATCCTTGTACCAAAAAGTTGAGTCATCCATGCACGGTTACAACCAAAAGAACCACCATACATAAATGTGTGAACCAACCACAATCTCTGCGAGAAACACAATCTGGCCAAGAGCAATACGAACTTCGGCATAACATATGGCCAGGCAACTCCAATTTTCATTTACAAGTTTTATGCCGCAGGACAAATGATGTTTACGGTGCAACCATATGAAAGCTTCACAACAAAACCAATCTCCACAGAGATTGCATCATTACAGATAACCAAAAGTTACTGACATAATAGATTACTATACCTATCTTGGCAATCAAGCATCAGTACCACAAAATTGCCAGAATTTCAGTGTTTGTTTCAACACATCACATGTAATGTTAATCGAAATGGGCTGCAGGGAAAAAAATAGCCACTTTCTCGTCGCCATCAATGAGTTAGAAATGAGCTCCAGCTTCCAAGCTATAAACCTGGAGGTAGCACTTTCCAATCAACGTTTGACTATATGCACATTCCATATCCAAGACAGAGATGGAAGCGTTGGCTTCGTGTTATTAAAAAAGACAAAACCCAAGCAATAGTATTCACATAATTGCCAGCCGCCTTCTTCTCACGTCCCATAATAATCACCACCAAGGTAATTGTACTGTGGTCCGAGTCCATAATCGAAACCTTCATTCGATGGCACCACTCGGTTAGGCACTGGATAAGGATTTCCAGCGCCAACTTTAGCATCCACTTTAGCTCTTCCTTTCATAGAACGCTTGTTATTATCGGAAGGGAACTCGGCTGTAAGCCTTCCCATCTGCTTCTGTAGATTAACAACCACTGAATTGTCATTGGTTAGTTTGCCCTTGGCAGCACTCTTCTTCCCATCAACGACCTTTAATTCCAATCTATACAAGGCACAGACATCACACTTGTTGATCTCGTACTCGTACAGATGCCACTCGAAGTTGTTCAATGGTTGTGGGTCCATGTAATAGGACCTCTTCAGTCCTCCAAATTCTAAGGAAGTGGTTAAGTGCCATACATTGGCCTGTATAAGATCTAGCATAAACTTCTCCCAACAATTCGAATTATTGGGACCAACTGGTTTATAACAATAGCAAGATGGAGCGGGTGCACGCCGCTGTTATATGTGAGTTAGTGAGGGTGAATTTGCTATCTACGTGAGGAAAGATACAGGGGAGGAGCAGATTTATGTGTTGGGGACCAATTTTCTTAGCGTATTATTGCTAAACTACACACACAAAATAATAATATAGAGCAAATTTATTTATTTTACTATATGTGGACCTAAGGGGTGCATTTGTAGTTATATGTGGTGTTGGTTAATTTTTTGTTTGTGGGGGGAAGATGTCGAAGAATTTTTGGGGAGCAAAGGAAGGCGAGCGAGAAATTATTTGGGATATTTCTACAAGAATTAGAATTTTTTATTTTGCATAACTTTTTAAGTAGGAGCACTAAGTTGTGTGAAATAAAATAAAAATAATGACGTTCGGATTGTGAAACACAAACTTATAGCTGTTTAAAGTTTGACGAAATAAAAAAATTGGAGACCAAACCGTCTTTTGACTTGCAAGAACTCGAGAAAATTAGTTAAAATGTTGTAATTTCTTCTCCAAGTTTTGGGGAAAGGAAAAAAATGCCATCGATGACAAGAGGGGCCAAAATTTAAAGAATTAAGGGTGGGTGCCTGGGGGCTGGGGTACAATCTTATCTTGCTACCGAAGAACATGAATACTTAATTAAAAGCGAGCAGTTGCGAAACTATGAATATAGGTTACAATAAATTGCATGTCAACCGTATTTTAGTTTCTTTGTAATATATAGTTATATACGATTACGTGCGTGGTCCATACTCCACATACACTTCATCCTTTGCCCCTTATGGATTGTATTTATCCTTTTCCTTTTGCTAATTCGCAAGGCTTTCCCCCCATTTTTTTGGCTGATAGTAGGCATAAATAATCATATGACTAATCTCTACGCTTAGCATTCGTTTTAGTAGTAATTCAATTTTTTTATCGAGAAATCATATTGTTTCTTCAAAATAGCATCCTTTTTTGACAACATTCAAAATAGCATCCGCTTTAATATATTTTGTAACAAAATTTTAAGACATTTATTACTAGTACATACCAAGTTGTAATGGTGGGCAGCACATAATATAATACCACGTTGATAGAAGTATATCATGGTGATATGAATATACCAGAGTATAGAATGATCATTTACCACATTTCATCACCATATGCCACCAGTTACCACCCTATCCAGGGTGGTATAGGATAGTATATTTGGTCATGAAATTGTTTTTCTAAAAAGTTGTAGATTCAATACATAACGATGAACTCGTTTCTTTTGGGCAAAGTTTTTCAAAATTCGAGTTAAAGACGATGGTGGTACCAAGTGATATCAGGGTGGTATGAAATTCTTTTGTCAAAATATACTGAAATCGGATATCATTTTGTAGATAAGGAGTTCACAATGAACCAATTCCATCAATGTAAATTTTTTGGAAATCCAAGTTAAACTAGCAAACATAAAAGTCAATTAGAAAACAAAGGAAAAATAAAAAGAAGCCTTTTATTCTTACCCTTTAGTTCTGGCACAACTCAAAATTAATTAATTAAGCATGCACCCTATCTTAGACCTTTTTTTACTGGTTCCAAAAAGTTTTCCCATAAATATATTGAGAATAGACACCATATAGCACTATAACTCTCTTCTTTTAGTGCAAAAAATTTCAAAATTCAAGTTGAAACGAATAAGATAAAGGATCGGTGAGAGTAGTAGAGGTGATAAAGAGTTCTCTGAAATTTGTTCCCCAAGTATATTGGTAAAAATAATATCATTTTGTAGATCACAATGAATCATTGTTCATTCTATGCAAAATATTTCAAAATTCAAGTGAAAATGAAAGAGATATAAGTCGATTAAAAATGTAGACGAATGATATCATCCATCATATCTAGGTCCACCTATTTCAAGATAAGAGATCTAATTATGAACAATTGTATAACCTATAGATATGCATTAGATATTCTACCTCAATCATATACGAACATTAACTAATGAGTAGTTTGTTGGGTGGCATGAATTGAAGGGTTTAATAGAGGAAGGAGCAAGAAGAGTGCTACTAAGTGCGCTAGCTCCAATGGGATGTTTGCCGGTGATGATAACACTTTACTCCAAGCATCCTCTCTTTGATCGCCGGTGCCTTGACCAATACACCCAGGTGGCCGTCGATTTCAACCTCATGGTTCAGAACGAGTTGGACCGCATCAAACCTCAGCTCGCGAGTGGAGGAGTCAAGATCTATGTATCCGACGTCTACCATGCCGTCAACGACATGATCCAACGCCCACAAACCAATGGTAAGTTCATCATTTGAGTTTTGGTAAGATATGAATCCACCAATCTATTTGGTTCATGGATCCATCAATATATTTGTTACATCTACGTAAAATCATAAATATTTTTTTTTCATGTTGTTTGTTCTTATTTACATAAATAAAAGTATTGTCATTGTTTTAACAAATTGTTCCAACCGAAAATTTTCATTCTAAAACATTTTCAATCATTTGAATTGAACCTATACAGCTATCAATATTCATGTCACACATGGGTCGTTTGCTGGTTGGATTTGGAAAACGAAAATTTTGGTAATAATTTGAGTTTTGTGATGGAATTGGTCCATTATGTACTTAAAAAAAAAATGTTGATTGCTTGTTGGATTTGATGATAGATTTGACCGAATTAGATTGTGGGTATATAACACATTTTACATTATTCATGGATTTGGTCAAAATCCGACCTATAGACCAGGAATTCGCAAATTCATTGGATCAACGAATTTTAGAATTTGATGTCCAAATTTTTTTCAAGAAAACATTAATTTTGTATCAAATCCATAAAACAAAACGACACAGTGCACATTATCCTGTACTGTCATTAAAACCATGTATTAAATTTCATTTTTCTGGGTATTTTGTACATCATACTTCCATTCTGTGGTTGTCTTCTTGTGTACGTGTAGTCCCTATTGGTTGAAATGAATAATTGATGATTGAATCCCAAATTGTAGGTTTCGAAGAAGTGAATGCCGGGTGCTGTGGGACTGGGTTCTTGGAAGCCGGATTCTTGTGCAACCCGCATTCGCTTGTTTGCCCCGACGCTTCCAAATACATATTTTGGGATTCCATTCATCCCACAGAGAAGACATACCACAACGTTTTTAAAGCAGCTCGTCCCGCCATTGATCTTCTTATCAAGGACTAATTAATTTGTTGAATTATATATATATATTCCCCCCAAATAGCGGTTTTCGTTGTTGGTCAATTCTTTTTTACTTCGATTAGGGTAATGCATCTGGTGAAATACATGTATACGTGAGCCTGTGTAAATGTAATGATTCATGATTAAACAAGACCCCTTACTTTTGTTACTCCAAACACCGCAAATTTTATGAAAATCGACAGGAAATTGTTCTTGTTCTACTGTAAATGTTCTATTTGAATACACATACATATTTGGGGTCATTTGGGTTCGTTGATTTCCCCCCCAAAATATTAGATATGTTCCAAATATGAGATCCCATATAGTCTGGCTGGTTTCGCCTGTAACAATAGCTTTACCGATTGGATCAAGGTGTCATCCGTCACCAGTTTCAAAAGTGGAAAAATCATGTTAGCTCCTCAGTTTGCTCGAACGTACTCTAAGTCTTTCAGGAATATATTCACAATTCTCGATCTTAACTCAGTCTGCTTGTAATCACTAATGTTTTAGAAACCATACCATAACGGTTGGTCGGACAGAAATACCAGATCCCTTTGCTACTAACATTTACAGTATGATTTCCGGTACGATTTAGCAATCATTGGTAATCACACGTTAGTACTCCTCTATTCTACGGGTGGAATAAAATAAATTTACAACAGAAAAAAAAGAACTATAGCAAATCTGAAATGGCTCAGATTGGGTCAGTAGCCAAGCCCATACTGGGCTGGGCAGGCCATGTTGCTGCTCCCTCTGATGCGCCATAAACAAACGTCCACCCTTTATAGTTCGGGCGTCCAGTGAGAACTGAGAAGTAAGAAATATGGAAGCCCATCAATTGCATTAACAAGCAAAATATGGCGGCCCACTATCAAGCATTAGAAACAGGCAACTGACGAGATATGGTGTCAATGGGCCCAGTAACAGAGGAGCAACAAGAAGCTGCATTTCTGCGGAGATAAAAATAGAAAGAGTTTTAAATCAGTTTGCCATTGTATCATACCAGCTTTAAACCCAGTTCCACAAAAAAAAAAAAAAAAAAAGCTTTAAACCCAGTTGGTGGAACAAAAATTACTTTAACTATCTAAAATTTCTGTGCTATTGTAACTCCTTATTAAAATATTTATGATTTTTCTTGTGGGACTTCAATGTATAGCTTGACTTATTATAGACTAATTTTTCAATCAAACTGTCAACACTTAGCCAATAATTTGCAACTCTTAAACTAAACAATACATGTTTTTGAATGCTGAAATGGTTAGAATTTAAATGGGTAAATGCCAAGTTTGATCGCTGAGTTTATTAAAACATGTCATGTTTAGTCACTGAAAAAAAACTAATATCAATTTTGGTCACTTGAATTAGTAAAACAATCCACATTTAATCACTCTCCGTTAACTTTAACTGATGTGGCAGTCAACCCTAACAGTTGACCGTTAAATGTCTGATGTGGCAATTAAAAATTAATAAAAATATATAAATTTAATTCTTTTAATATTTCCACATCATTAAAATAATAAACTAAAATAAATAAAACAAAAAGTGAAGGGTGAAAACCGAGTCGGGCTTGGAGCCCTACCCCGGGGAGGAAGAGAACGGGATTATGTCCGGCGACCCGATGGTATCTCAAAATTTTCAGTTCGAATTATAGGTATCGCCAGGGACGATATCTCGCGCGGGACTGACGGGTCTAAATTATATTGTGCATTTCTATAGAGAGGCGAATGTCGTTACGTTGCTTGTTACCTTGCTAATTTAGTGCACCCTCGCTCGTTGGGGCGGCCTCAGATTATTGCAACACTTGATGTTGCATTTTCATACTGGTTGTGCCATGACATTATTGGAGTTCAACTGACCCGTTTCATTATTGAATAAGAGTTGGATGGCCTTTAAACATTCTATTTCTAAAAAAAAGGTACATAGTTGCAGAATAAAACAACACTAATTTATTTAGAATATAGATATTTGATAATAAACTTTCATAACAAAAAAAAAAATATATCGGTCTCCAAAATTCTACGCACACTTTGATTTCTTAGCTTTTTCTTTTGTTCACGACAAGCCAACTCACTCTCAAACGGAACACAACAGTTACACGAACACAGGTAGACTAGATTCAACCCAGTAGCAAATATCGCTTGCACGCGCATTTGATTGATATAAATCCAGAGCACACATGTTAATAATTAATTTGGTCTTCCGCTGTTTTGATGAAATCATCATCGGATGAGTGCCTCGGACAAGGACTTGATGGCCTCGTCGGCGATAATCTGATACATCTTCTGCGTCGGGTGTACCGCATCCCAGAAGGCGTACTTGGAGGCATCCTCGCACGTGCTCAACCCTTTGCACGTGTCACCGTACTCTATGGTTCCGGTCCCGCAGCAGCCCTTGGCCGTCTCCGCCAAACCTGCAAACCGAAATGGGGAAAGGAAGTCTGTAAGCTGAGAGAGTTGTGCGATTAAGTGTGGAATAGAGCGGAGTAAGAGACCGTAAGTCTGTGGGGTGGAGAGGGCGTTTTGGAGGACGGCGTAGCAGTCGACGTAGGCGTCCTTGATCCCGAGGGTGCGGTGGAGAAGGGCCAAGTTGGCCTTGATCTTGGAGTTGAAGGAGGAAGCCACCTGGTTTATGGCCTCCACACACTTGTTCTGCTCTTCGCCGCCCCTCAGTGTCTTCACCAGCGGCATGCATCCCAGCGGCGGGACACCCACCACCACCAATCTCCTTGCTCCCAGCCTGTGCATTTCCTGCCACCACCACCAACCATTTTTCAATTTTACGGTCCAAAAATAACAACAAATGTTATGTGCGGACAGAAGATCAGGTAGGTCCGCATGCAATAACTATCCTCCAAGTTTCGTTGTTTTTTTTTTTTATGTGAAGTGTTATACAGATTTATGTGTTTCTTAAGGATGGAAACAGGAATCTTAATTAGCAATCATTGCAAAATATTATTGGAAGTTGTAAAAAAAAAAAAAAAAAAGGGAAAAAGTGTGTTTAAATCGTGGGTTTATTTATAATTCAAACGCTTCATACCGATTAAGATTACATATAGATAATTTTTGTTGTCAACTGTCGATACCGTGCGATTTTACAAACACTGTAATTTAAAGGTCGGTCGAGTGATTTACGTTCAATTTGAGTTAATAGTCGTTAAATTGATGCAAATATACGTAGGATATCTAGTCTACATCAATACCTTATAAGTTATAATGGGTGTGTCATTATCTCGACTTATAGTTAGATTTCTCTTTCATGATTTAATTTTATTTACATAAAATATGTACTTGTTACTAACTACCATTAACAATAATGACGAAGACTTTTCAGAATTCCGTAAAAATATAGTTCTTCCAACACTTTAGGACCTGATTGAAAATTTGAAACAGCATTGATTCTTGCTTATACAGTTGTAATATCAGGTCAGTAGCGTAGCCATCACCCATAAAAGACACAACATTTATGCACACTTTGTTGGTTTAATGAGAATACACACATCATGAGTTTGACTATATGGAAAGTGACTGAGTTCGTTCAAGGAAAACGTTGTTAGAAAACATGTAGCAACAGCGCATGTGGTTCAAATGTCAACGAGCAGGCAACCAACCAAAGAAATTAAGACCGACAAAGAAACTGAAGGAGACAGCTGTGAGCAGAGTAATTACCTTGATGCTGTGGAGCATTTGGGTGGAAAGGAAGTCCTGGTACTGTTGGACGGTGAATTGCTTGGCCCTTTCTGGCTCCAAGTAGTAGTTCTGGAGGAAGTCGTTGGTTCCCATGCTCAGCACAAACACCGCATTCTTCACCGCCCATTCCGCATTCTTCACGCCCACCACCCGGCTCAGGTGGAGCTTGTAGTGCTTCAAGTACTGCAGCTGCCTAGGAATCGACAGCACATTCTGTACGTAGAAAGACTAATTAGCTTTTGTATGTGATTGACCAAACCAATTGTGTATATTAGTTGACGCTTTGATGAGATTAATTGGCTAATTGATTTATTACGTACCGAGAAATTGGCGGTGAGTTCATCGTACCCGGAAGCAGCAGATGCGAAGCTAACTCCGTGTAGTAAATCTTTCGGTTTCAGATTTGGGTCCAAGAATGCTGGGATTGTCTTCGTGAATCCCAATGCCTCAGCTACATATACGAGGTAACCACAGAAAAATCATAAGAAAGAACATTATATATGTTTTAGGGTAGGAAGTACATTAATTATATATGTTTGTTTTACGTCAAACAGAACATATTCTATACAACTTATCATTGGTTCGCACAAGTAAATACAATTCCGCACATTATTAAGTAACATTTTTCAACATTGTTAATTCGTATTATGAAAATTGTTCGATCAATTATTTTATAGTGACAAACCAAAACCGTTACGTACAAACTTTACCAAAACATAACTTTTACCACCAACAAAATTGTTGTCGTCCAAAATAGACCAAAACACAAACAGTGTCGTAATGGACTAAGTAAATATATTCTTTTCCTTTTATTTCTTAGATAATCGATAACATCTACCATTTACTATTTCGTTACTATTGTAACTTAACTCCTTACTTACACACATATATATTAGTGTCAGAGGAACTCTTTTGCGACCGCAACAAAGGTCGCAGAAGGCAACAAAATAGGTCCCCATCTGGATCTGGTTTACTAAGCTTGCAGGAAATTTAAGATGTGAAGTACACGATCTAGGCAGCTAGTTATTGACGTACCTATAAAGTCGGTGGCGAGCCTGCCGTTGGAGAAGCGGCCGGTGGGGCGGGCTTGGAAGAAATCCTTGCCGTAAGGCGGGAAGTTGCCCTTCATCGGAGTGGGCAGGCGGTTGTTGTTGCCGGGGTCGACGCTCGAGTCTCCGAACACCAAAACGCTCGTCACGTTGTACTTGGTCACCAGCTGCCTGATGGTGCCCTTCTCGAACCCACTCGACAACTGCGGCATGGCTGCACCCATAAACAACACCACCAAAATGGCCAACCCACCCATCCCCATCTCAGGAGTCTTTCCCATAACGAGTCGATGGAGAAAAGGGAGACAAAGCTAGGCTAGCCTTTTATGTTTGTTTTGGTAGAGAAGTGATGGTAATTTTGGGATGGGGATGATGGACATGCACATGGCCTTAAATAGACTAAGGTTTTGGGGTTTGGGACTTTTGGGTTTGGGTTTGGGTTTGAGTCGTCTGGCGTTGTTGGTTGGAGACATTTAAGGAAGCGTTTGGCCGGCGATAGTTGTATGACAGGGTAATGGAGAAGGGATATTATTTTTATTTAGAAGAAGAAGAAGAAGAAGAAGAAGAAATGAATGGGGATTTAATTGTTGGGATAGTGTGTGGGATGGTAGCTGAAGGTAATGAATGCGGGCAGTTTGTAAAATTGATGGAGGGGCGCAACCACTCGCCGTATTGTGGTGACTATTGCATGACATATTCTGCTAACAGTTAGCTGGATAGCAAGCCAAGGCAAGAGGACGACTACTCGGTCCAAACCCTTATGTAGTGAAAACTGAAACAATTTGGGGAAAAAGGTTGTGAGATTCACCCGTCGTGATAGGCAATGTAAATGTTGGGATATGGATATGCTACTCGTCTTGAACTCGATGATTTGTGTGTTGCTTAATTAAGTGAGTGTCGTTTTTTTTTTTTTAATTGTGAATTTGTTAAAACTAGGTCGACCCGGTTAAAGCGAGTTAAACACAGTGTTGAGAGTTTGGGGTAATGAGCGAGTTTTATCCGTTTTAGTACTTTTTATATATATTTTTTTTGGTTGAGACAGACAATTGAGTCCAAACGCATGGGTATACAACGTAATTCAATCCGACTTGAACCCGATTTTACAGGTTTCCAACGGGAGCGAGTTTTATTTGTTTTTATAGTTGCATGTTGTGTCAGGTATGAATTTGTCCCAAACTCAGTCCAACCAGGTCAAAGCGAGTTGAATCTGGTGTTGACGAGTTTTGAGTCGGTAGTGAGTTTTAACTTTAGTGTTTTTCATTTCGCTTTTTCCTTTTGTTTGAGAAAGACAATTGAACCCAAATCCATGGGTATCCAACCTAATTTGACCCGATCAATGCGTGTTGAACCTCCTCAAACCTGTAATCAGTCCAAAATTTTCATAAAGAAGAACCGCGATTACCTCAAACCATAAAAAACCATACAAATTGAAACATTAGCATCATGGAAGAAGTTTAAACATAAATAATCTATTCGACGACCCCTCTACGTTATGCAAGTTCATCGACCATATGCTATTGTAAATAACAAACCTATGGAAAGAATGATTAAGAATGAAATAATATTACTTTCACTTTGGATCAACATTAAAACTATTACTGTTTAAAATATTTATCTTTGTAATACGCAAATCGATAACAAGCGGGATTTTGCTAGTATGGATCAAATTAACAGACATGCATGCTTAATATGTTTGGCACTTTCGCCAAAAGTGGAATTCTCTGTAATACAGATGAAACTATATGGTTTTGATAGCAGCTTGATCGGATTTGGATGAGGGAAGTGGCAATCCTAGACAAGAACGATCAGCTATTGTATTTTACAAGTGGTATAGGCTAAGGCTTGAGGAACAAGTAACAACTGAACAAGGTACCTATGTTGTGGTTTCATGCGATAAGTGAATTGCCCAGTCATTATATTTGAAGTTTTATCCACACTCACATATAATTCATCTTGTTATTCATTCATATATAAAGCCTAACATGGGAGTTACTATTTATAGTAGCTCTCATACTCATCCAAGTGCAAGTGGGGAAGTTCCAAGTCCTTCTTTCACCCCACTCTCCACTCTCCATTCTACAATCTTTATGTTTAATTATTGTTCGCTAGGTTTTCGTCTACGGCTTTTTGTGCAAATCATCGGCTTTGCTCATATATATATATGGCAAAGGCTAGCGTACGTCCGGGCGTACGCTAGCCTACCGTACGCCCCATTGAGTTTTGCTATTTAGACAAAGAATTAATCGGAGTTTGTGACATGATACTATACCCTATCCCCTAATGGGTGAATCCCACTCCCCAATTCACTAACCCAAAGCATGAGATTCGTTTAATCTTAAAAATGAAAATCAACGATTCTGATTCGTCGAAATTTTCATTGGTTTTCATTTTAAGATTAAACGAACCTCATGGTTTGGGTTAGAAAATTAGGGACTGGGGTTCACCCATTAGAGGTTAGGGTATAGTATCATGTCCCAAACTCCGATTAATTCATGATCTATATAGCAAAACTCAATGGGGCGTACGCTAGGTTAGCGTACGCCCGGGCGTACGCTAGCCTGGACCATATATATATATATATATATATATATATTCAAAAGCCTAACATGTGAGTTACTATTTATTAGTGGCTCTCACACTCCTCCAAGTGCAAGTGGGGAAGTTACAAGCACTTCTTTTACCCTACTGTTCATTCTACAACCTTTGTGTTTAGTTATTGTTCGCTACGTTTTCGTCTATGGTTTTTTTCACAAATCATCGCCTTTGCCCTCCATTTTGAAGCCCATCTCAAAATACTGTCGGCGGAATCCTAAGTTGTTCCCCACCACCGTTTTCCAAGGCCGCTACCATGAGTTTTGTATCGGGGCCTAGTTTCATCCTCTTTAGTTTTTCTTTCTTTTTTTCCCTTTTTGTTGAGAATGATCACAATTGAACCCAACACACATGGGTATCCTAACTTGAACACATTATCGCCTTTTCCCCCATTCTGCAACCCATCTCGAAATACTGTCTGCGGAATCCTAAGGTGTTCCCCACGATCGTTTCTCAATGCCGCTACCACAAGTTTTGTATCGCGACCGAGCTTCATCCTCTTTAGTGTTTTTTCTTTCTCTTTTTCCTTTTTGTTGAGAATGATCACAATTGAACCCAATGGTGCAACTGAAAATTCTTACCATATCTATTCAATGTTGACGCGTTTTGTATCGGGACCGAGTTTCGTTTGCTTTATTGTTTTTTCTTTCACTTTTTCTTTTTGTTGGGGTCATGAGCGAGTGTTATCCGCTTTAGTATTTTTTTATCTTTTTCCTTTTGGTTAAGAATGGCAATTGAGTCCAAACGCATGGGTATACAACCTAATTCGACCTGACCAAAGCGAATTGAACCCGATTTTACAGGTTTTCGGTGGGAGCAAATTTTATATGTATTTGTAATTGGCGTGTTGTGTCGGGTGTGAATTTGTCCAAAACTCGGTTCAACCAAGTCAAAGCGAGTTGAACGTGGTGTTGACGAGTTTTGAGTCGGTAGCGAGTTTTAGCTTTAGTGTTTTTCATTTTGCTTTTTCCTTTTGTTTGAGAAAGACAATTGAACCTAAATCGATGATCCAGCCTAATTTAAAAAGATCCAGAAAAGTTGCTTCATTATGCAAAAGTTATAGCAAGATCAACTACTAGCCATACAAATTGAAACATTGGCGTCATGAAAGAAGTTTAAACTTATATAATCTATTCGACGACCCTTCTACCTTATGAAAGTTCATCAACTATATGCTATTGTAGATAACAAACCTATGAAAAGAATGATTAAGAATGAAATAAGATTACTCTCACTATTACTCGTTAAAATATTTATTTTTCTGATAAGCGAAGCGATAGCGAGCGGGCTTTTGCTGGTTTCTATATAATCCGGTCGAATTCGAACAACTTGTCGATGCAACTTTTTGCTATACAGTGATAGAGTAATAGTATTGAGAATGAATTATGGCGAATTGCCTTGGGATACAGTTTTCCTTGTTTGTGGGCAGGCAGTATAGTACAGAAAGACTAGTGCATATTTAAATCGAGTGGAAAAGGGAAATGCACAACCGTTCTCAATCGCTTGCAATTGGTTGAAGATTGGGTCGGGTAACAAAGCACTTTGTATTGAATCATCGGTCCATTTCAACACCCGCAGCATGCCCATATCCAAATCTAACAGTGCCACATCAGATCAAAGTCGACCACTCGAATCATTTATATCTGTTTTTTTCTTTTATTCAGAATTAGTACCGTAACAGCTTGCAGTTTTAATGAAACTTCAAGTACTAATACATGTGCCCGGCATTTATCTGCCGTCTAATTTCGACACAATTATCCACTCCCACACTACCAGTTACCAAATATCTTATTTAGTCTTTCTTCCTTGATCAATCATTGCTTCGCTTAGGCAATTATTAGACGAGAACTAGGAGAATAACCATCATTATGATCATTAATGATAGTAGATGATTCAAGCGTAAAGGCATCACAACGAGCAAAATTCTAGCCTCGCCCTTCCTGCCTCCAAATTCCAATGTTAGGTGAAACAGTGCAATAAATTTCTCGAATTAAATTCCTGTCGTAAGCAGTACTGCAGTAGTGCTTGGTCCCTGCCTGCATCCCATTCTTGTGGGCAAGAATAATAATAATATATATATATTACCCTACAGAATGGGGCGCAGAGAAGAACAGTAAAAAAACGGCTGTGGTTTGGTATGCATTCTCTTCCACACAGGCAAGTGGGGAGAATTATGCTCCAGGAAAGGTGGGGTTTTCTGGGTTTTACTGCATCAGCCAAAGTACACAACTTTGGAAGGGCATTCGACCCATAGGGCAGGGAGGTATTTATTTTTGTTGGGTCATAGTGTGTAGATGGGAGTTGGGAGACGATGATGTCTACTACAAATTTTGTTTGCTTTTAATGAATTTTGCGCCAACCAGCCATGACTCCCACGAGGTATTAGGTCATGTGGATGCGATTTCTCATTGTCTCCACCCCAATCCTCAACATCTTCTTCCTTTCTCACGTACCATCTCCAGACTGTATCCACCTTTATATTCAGTCAATACGAAAATTCACTGTGTTGAGTGAATCAGGAGCGATAATGTACCCGTGATTGTAAGTTTAACTATCATTCTAGAGGGAATAAAGAAAAAAAGATTTGTCTAAATTTTTTCATGGCTCAAACACAATCACTCGATTGCACCGCTTCCTTGGTATAGTTGGAGCACACTAACGGTTTTTGTCTTTTCTATATTGCTTAGATGTCAATGACCCATGTATAATAGAGAACTCGATAAGCACTTGGAATCTCCAATTATCAATAAATTGACTGATCTTTTTTCCCGAAAGAAGGTCAGTTACAGTTGAAACTGTTTGTAGCTGTTGCTAGCCACTCCCCAAATCTCAGGGCCAAATTTAGCTACATTTTTTTTTAACAATCGATCACTTTTATTCATAGGAAATGAGAAATATATCGAGGATAAGCTAAAAGC